CACTCTCAACGCCTTGCGAGCACCACTCTATCATAGAATTAGTACATTGTACGAGGGCTGGTTCTGTTTCTCGCCCACTAACCACTAAGAACTGTATCTCACAGTTTCTCATTGTACACAGCAGGTGCTCATGACATATGGCCCAACTCGAATTTCTACACGTTATGAAAGGTCAAGATTAGTCTCTGAGTGTAAAAGGCTGAGATCTTCTGTGGACCACACGTTAGAGAGTCGAGATCTCAAGGCAGTCGCGACCAGCTCGGGGCTCTCACGGCTGCGTTCTCCTCTGAAGGCCGTTTCTTCCCCGACTCAGGCTGACTTCCGCTCATCCGAATGTGAATCCCGAGATGTACTCAGGCTCACTACTCAGGTTCATTTCCAGGTGAGCTGTGGCACCTGATAGTGCAATTACAATTTGAATGAGAGATTTAAAAGAAAGGCCGTAAGTACAGCCCACACTTCTCAGAGGGTCTCTTGTCCGGAGTATTTTTCTTGGTGTGTGTCTATACCCACATGGCCTTGGCCACTGCAGAGAATCACCCAGATTATTCATGGAAAATAGAGAGAATTCTTTATAAAAATATGCATGTAAGTGTGCACATGTCTGTATGATAAGAACCAAACTCACTGCCAGTGAGTTGATCCTGACATGCATTGGTCAGCAGTTCAAACCTATTAGCTGATCTGCAGAAAAAAGATGAGGCTTTCTGCTCCTGTAAAGATTCACAGCCTCAGAAACCCACAGGGAGTGTTCTATCTGGCCTCTAGAGTCACTAGGAGATGTGCATTATATGCATACCTATTTTACCAGATCAATAAACAATTAAGCTTCAGAGATGTTCATGAATCAGAATCAACAGCAACAGAAAAAAACAAAACCACACCAAAGAACAACCCCAAACAACCCACTCTCCCTAGAAGGCACCACACGACAGGCGGTGTCACTTGAGATGCAAGGGTGTCTTCACAGACCCAGTGCAGCCGGTTTATCTAACACCCAGTTTTAATGAAACTGACGCTCACAGAAGGGCACGTGACTTCACCAGGCCCCTGAAAAGAAAGTGCCCTCGAAGAGCATTGTAATCACGAACTCATAGGGAACGCACAGGGGCCGAGCAGGGAGGACACGCCTCTTACTTGGGACTATGTGTTGAGCACATGATGTCACTGTTCTGTGCTGTTGGGTCGGTTCTCCAAGACTCTGCTTCACACACTTGGTCATGTGGCCAGGAGACCAGTCCCTGAAGAAGGACGTCATGCTTGGTAAAGTGGAGGGGCAGCAGAGAGAGAGGCAGGCCCTCGGGGAGGCGGATGGACGCGTGGCTGCATCCATGTAAACCATGGTGCACATGCGCAGGGCTGGTGGCGTTTCGTTCTGTTGCCCACAGGGTCGCTCAGGGTCACAACCGACGTGACGCCACCTCACAATAGCATTCGGTAAAGCACCTTTTCTCCCATTAGCAGCTCATCTGAAATATCTTTGTGGAGGGACGCTGACCCAAGAGGAAAGGACCTCTGAGCACGTCATGTTTCCCTGTGGACCACTCTGTCTTGTGTCCGTGGCTCTCGGAATGCAGCCTTGGTAATGAGCATCGGCTTCACTTGGTGTTCAGGGTCACCCTTAGGGAAGCTCTGAGGCTGGACTGTGGAGCCGGATGGGCCCTGACCCCACAGCAGTGGGCGAGACACCATCACTTACCAGGCGCGAGGAGCCTGGAGCATGTGTCCTCTTCACGGTCCCATCCCTCAGGCCTCCCGCGTTCTCTACTTTAAAGGGAACGAGTCCGTTCCAGCCATCAGAGAGACAATGAAGAAGTCATGCTTAGAGCCCCCCAGTCGCAGGATAAGAGGGTTTCAGGATGCTGGGTTTGGGCCATGCCCAGGAATTTGGAGTATGTTCCCAAATGCCTTCTTTTTTAAACTACAGCAGTAGCCCTGTGGTCAGAACCTGGCCCTGGATAACGTCAGCTCTGACAAGTCTCTCTTTCCAGAAAGCCCCTCCGTCTCGCCCTCCGGGGCTTCCCTACACGGCTGCTCTCCATCCACACAGTGGAATGCTGGCTGGTCTTGGAACTGATCCCAGCATGCGCAAACATCACTTCTGACAATGACTCGGGGGCAGAGGTTCTCTACGGCGTTGGCAGGATTTCCATTTCTCAGGCTAAAGGCAGGATCTCCGCTCCGCTTGGAGCTACCCGCCAAAATGGGGAACAAGAAAGACCCCACTCCCAAACCTGGATGTCGCTGTCCAAATCTGATGATGCAGAACCCAATCAGTGCGCTGACTTCATCGCGGTGGCAGAGAGCCGCATGCGACTGCACAGCTTCTGCCGCATTGTCTGCCGTGTAGCGGTGGTGGGAGTTGCTGACCGTTGCCCAGGGTGGGGAACGGGCATTTCCACACATCCGAGGGCTGCAGAATGTGCATCCTACCATTTAAACGTCAAGTGACTCCACTGCTACATTTCACTAGGATCTAATGTGAAGTTATTTGATTTATACTAATTGCTTAAGGAACACTCTCTGCATACACTTGGGACCGTTTTGCAGGCAGCCTTGCGCATGGTCATGCTAATGGCAGGAGAGTCGAGGCCAGGTGAAAACCAGCCAGCACCGAACCGCCACCAGTCATCTAATAAAATCAAAGGGAAGCATCCAAACCTCGCCTTGTGCCCTCCCCTTGAGCACTCTGTTGGTGAGGTTGTGGGATGACAGAAGAGTCTGTAAAGATTACACCAGCAAAACCACCGCCCCTGCTCATGGCATTGCCCTGGTGGGTGGCGTTTGCTTCCAGTGGGCAAAGTGGAACAGAGGAAGGAGCACAGGATGCTCAGGGTCCAGCTTACTATGATCAAGTGTCACCTCTGGTTCTGAGTCCCGCTTGCTATTACTAAAGAATCATAACTCATGTCCCTCCTCTTTCCTCCCGGTAGTACCCTGGCTGACTCGCCTCCTTGATAAAGTCCACAGACCCACTCTTCCCTGGAGGCCACGCTCTCTATCTTCCCTCTGGCATTTTCATTGTTTGTTCAATGTGTGTTTTACTACAACTTGCCACCCAAGGGCAGATTCAAAATAAATGATACCACTTAACATGGAAATAAATTCACCTGAACTTGTGGGGCTTACTTGGAAGGATAATTGAGATCTGGATCGAACGTTATCTTTTCCTGTGCTCCAGAAACTGTCCAGTAGCCACCTTTTAGAACATAAAATCTTTAGGCAACAAATTTCCGTGGTCCCAGGGAGGCAGGGGGAGAGGTGTGTTTAGAAGAGGAGAAAGAGCACGTGAGATGAAGGGTTAGGAAGAGGACTACTTTTAGCATGGCTTCTCCCTTACATGGCAGATTCTCCTGGGAAACACGCTTGACGTGCCCGTCTTCTCACAAGATCGCAATATGTATACATACTGAATGTATATACACTGAATATATATACTGAACATATATTCAGTACACACACATATACATATGTAAAGTACATATGAACTCTCAGTAGGAGAGTATGAGGATGATGCAGTGGTTATATGTTGGGCTGCTAACTACAAGGCCAGCAGTTCAAAACCACCAGCTCCTCTGAGGGAGAAAGATGGGGCGTTCTACTAATGTAAAGAGTCACAGCATTGGATTGAACTGGATACTCGGTCAGTTGACCTCCCTCTTGACCCAACCTGAAACTGTTCTACGTGCAGTCATTTCTTGCTTGCTCCAGACAAATTCCCCCATTCCCCGGCCTTTTAAATATTCATGGTGTTCGTTTCTTTCTCATTACTTGTACCTTTATCTCAGTATTATTATTATTTTATCTTTACCACCTTATTTTGTCTTTATTTTATATTGTTTCTGTTGGGTTTTCCAGCTTGTGAAGCACAGGAGTAGATGCATGAGATAAGAGCTGTTTCAAGGGTTTATAGGGGAGATAAGGAGGGGGCAGGTAGGGAGGCTGAGGGGGGGCTGGGGAAGCAAACAATGTATGTGGGAGGAGGGATAGAGTATTAGAACTGTTGGTGATTACACAACTCCTTTTAAAAGTGATTTAACCATGGGAGGGGGCGGAGAAATATTCTAAAATTGATTATGGTGATGACTGTATAACTCTTCCTGATATAATTAAAATATTGAATTGTGTGGTATGTGGATTAAGTGCCAATGAAACTGTTGTTTTCTTTAAAAAGAGTCAGTCTGGGTAACTCACAGGGGCAGCTCTACCCTGTCCGATAGAGTCACTCTGAGTCAGCATTGACTCGGTGGCAGTGGGTTTTCAGATTGTGTGTGTGTGTTTCTATACACACACACATACACAGATATTGTTGGGAAGATCAGGCCTGAGAGACTCAGAAGCCACAACTCTAGGGAGAGCGTTGGAATGCAAGACAAGGCCCAAAAGAAGCGGTGGATGGAGAAGTGACCACAAGCCAAGAGAAGGCAGTTTAACCACCTCGTTTGAACAACTGCCTGCTCATGAAGCTGTGGGACTCCGGTGACTTTACCTCACCAAGCAGTGAACTCTGCGTTCCTCCATGAGAGTGCAACGAAGAGCAATGGAACCCCTCCAGGGAGCGACGCCGTGACCCCAGACAGAAGGCCGAGAGAGGGCTCTGCTGGCCGCAGGGCCGTGGGAGTGAGGAGCAGGAAGGGCTGTCACACAATGGTATCTACAGCTGCAGATTTCTCAAAAGCATTCTTGATGCCTGTCAGCGACCAGTTGCTGTTCCGACTCACGGCGACCCCAAGTGTGGCAAAGTAGAGTTGTGCCACAGAGAATTTTTCTATGGCTACTTTTTTGGGGAAGTGGATTGCCGGACCTTTCTTCCCAAGCACCTTGGGGTAAATTCAAGCTCCCAACCAGCATGTAACCATCTACACCACCTTGATGGGCACTCCCCTCTAACCCCGTGAGGCGACTGCCCTGTCCCTGAGTGGTGTTCTTAGTCAGAAAGCAAACAACCTTGCAAGTCCTCTCCCCCGTGGCCCTCCAGCCCAGCCCCTCCCCGCCCCTACCTCAATGGTATATTGCTCAAAGATGCGCAGCTGCAGGAAGATGTCCAGCTTAATCTTGCGCTCATGGAAGAGCTCCTCCATCTGCACCTGCGCGTCGTCCAGCTGCTGTAGCACCGACTCGATGTGGCTGATGGAGCTGCTGTGGGGCATCTTGTTGTTGGCTACCGCGGAGTCCCTGTGGCGGGGTGGAGAGAAGGGGGGAGGGGCCTTGCCATGTTAAAAGTGGCAGAGGGAGAGGAGGCCGACGCATCTGAGCAGGTGGGCAAGTCATTCCATCAACAGGCGTTTATCCAGTTCCTCCTGCGAGCGCGGCTCACTCTGCTGAGCCGGTGAACCCAAGGCAGAGGCATTCTCTTTGGGGCTCACAGGGCCACCTTTCCCCCAAGAGTTGCCCTTCGGCCCCTCGGATAGAATTGTGCAATGCATCCCGTAAAATACTATCTAGCAAGGGTCTCTCACAGCACAGCGTATGAGAGACATGGGTCAATATCTAGAAGTACAGTGGTCACACACACACACACATGCATACATAGATCACAGGACACGTGGGGAGACCAAGGACAGGCCCATGGAGAGTATACCTTCCTTGCTTATCTCACAGGACTACTCATGGCTGCCAAAATTAGCCCTACGTGTCCCAGTGCGATGGCAAGTTATGGACTGGCACTCAACCAGCTTTAAGCTGAGGCTGGGAAAGCCTTGGGTCATGAGTCTGCAAGCTGACCGAAGGCCCAGCTCGGATATGTGTGTGCTGGTGGCCTATGGAAATCACCTCTCTGAGCCTCAGTTTCCTCACCTGTAAAATGGATGAAAAACCTTGCCCTACTCAGTTAAGTGCCCAAAGAGGCAGTCTGTGTGAAGGCGCTCTGCGACCACTCACACGCTGTATGAACGGCGGTTAATTCTGAAAGGCTATGGATGAAGGGCGAGCTGCTCACTGGGGGAAAAAGGCAAGGCTAGATCACAGCCAGCTGGGACAGCCAGTAAAGGTTCCCAAAGAGGGTGAGTTTTCGTTGGGAGACTGGGGAAAGAATGAACACAGGCCCGTAGATGGGAAGGGAGGGGGTGCACTTTCTGGGCAGAGCGAATCTGTACCAAGCAGATGATGCTGCAGAACAGAAACCAGAGGCCAACACCCTGCGCTGCTCAGAGAGTCACAAAGAGATCACCACTGAGGTTCACACGTTCAGATTTAGGGTCTTCAGCAAACTCAAGCCCCGTGTTTCTTAGTAGCTTAAGGATTCCAAGCGGAAAACAATCAGTTTTAGATCCTCTCACCAGTGGGCTTTCTGGAAGGCTTTTGGTATAGAGCGAATTGTGCTCCTTTCTAAAGGCAAGTATATGTTGCAGATCCCAACCTCAATGTCTTGTAGTTAGAATCTCGTTCGGGAATGGCTTGTTTCTGTTGCGCTGATGAGGCAGGATTGGTATACGGTGTACCTTGACTCAATCGCTTTGGAGCTACAAAAGGAATCAAACAAGCAAGTGAGCAAACAGAGATGCAGAAGAGAGCTGGAAGCCACATGAAGACTGCCAAGAGCAGAAGCCCAGAGAGACCAGGACCTTCCCCCAGAGCTGTGGGAAAGAGA